AAACCCTAAACCCTAAACCCTAGGGTCTTGTCCTGAATATCAAATCACTGATACTTAAAGCCTTTACACCCTTCCCCGCAGCAGGTAGTCCGTAAACCCTAAACCCTAGGAGTGACGCCGTGGGACGTGAAGAATGAAGTCGAAGCCCTGAACGCTAAACCCTAAACCCTAAACCCTAAACCCTAAACCCTAAAGGTGGAAGGCTGAAGATTAAACTCTGAACCCTAGACCCTGAAACCCTAGCCAGTAGAGAGTTCCCTTGTTGTGCTGCAAGCCCTAAACCCTAAACCCGCCTGTTCCTCGACGGAAAGGCCAAACCCTAAACCCTAAACCCTAAACCCTAAACCCTAAACCCTAGCCGCTGAAGAAGCTGAGGCGGCGAGGGTTTGTGGGTGGGTCTGGGGTGGGAGCGGGCGTTAGTGGCGGCTTGGGTGGAGTCGTGAGGGTTTGGGGGGCAGCGCAGTTAGGGTTTGGGTGCGAAGGCGCAAACCCTAATTTAGGGTTTGCTGCAGGTGACGATCCAGTGCGCGGAGCGCGGGCTGCTGCTAAACCGCGTCCGCGGCGAACTCAAAACCCTCATGAAAGCTCACAAAAGACTTTACGAATCTTCTGCTGCTTTTGGAGTTCGAAAGGCTTTGTTGGCAGCAGCAGCAACAGAGGCTCGCGAGGCCGAGGCGCAGCAGCTAGCTGCAGCAAACCAGCAGCTAGCTGCGCAGCTGCAGCACGAGCAGCAGCAGCTGCTGCTGCTGCAGCAGCAGCACCAAGACCGAATGCAGGCCGTCCGAACCCCCACCAGCCCCAGCTAGCTGCACTAACCACCTAGCTAGCTACCTAGCTAGCTAGCTAGCTAGCTAGCTAGCTAGTTAGCTACCGAGCTAGCTAGCTAGCTAGCCAGCTAGCTAGCTAGTTAGCTAGCTAGCTAGCTAGTTAGCTAGCTAGCTAGCCAGCGAGTTAAGGGCACAGCTAGCTGGACTTCTTTGCAGCTAGCTAGCTAGCTGCAAAGCGGCAGCTAGCTGCACAAAAGCCAGCTAGCTAGGGCTAGCCGCATAGAACAGCTAGCTACAGGAACTGCAACTAGCTGGCTAGCTGGAAAGCAGCAGCTAGCTACAGAAAGCAGCAGCTAGCTAGCTACGGAGAGCAGCAGCAAGCCACAATTAGCAGCAGCTAGCTACGAGCAGCAGCAGCTAGAGGCAGCTAGCTACAAGCAGCGGCAGCTAGGTGACTAAGAGCAGCAGCAGCTAGCAGCAGCTATCTCCGGCCAGCAGCAGCGCAGCTAGCAGCAGCTATTTGCGAGCAGCAGCAGCTAGCAGCAGCTAGCAGCAGCTACCTACGAGCAGCAGCAGCAGCAGCTAGCCAGCAGTAGCAGCAGCAGTTGCTAGCTAGCTAGCAGCAGCAGCAGCAGCAGCAGTTGCTAGCTAGCTAGCAGCAGCAGCAGCAGCAGCAGCAGCAGGGGTGGGGTTGTTGTGATTGTTCAGGAGAAAAAAGAACACGAAAGCAATTTGGCGGCGCTGCGGCGAAAATCGCAAAAAGTGAAAAAAGAAATCGAAAGACTGCTGACCATTCAACAAACTTGAAAAAGGAGACAGTTTTTAAAAGGAGACACTTTTAAAAAGGAGACAGTTTAATTAAAAGGAGACAGTTTTATTTAAAGGAGACAGTTTTATTTAAAGGAGACAGTTTTATTTAAAGGAGACAGTTTTATTTAAAGGAGACAGTTTTGAAAAGGAGACAGTTTTAAAAGGAGACAGTTGTAGACTTTTGCTGACCATTCAACAAACTTGAAGGAGGAGACAGTTTTAAAAAGGAGACAGTTTTAAAAAGGAGACAGTTTTAAAAAGGAGACAGTTTTAAAAAGGAGACAGTTTAATTAAAAGGAGACACTTTACTTAAAAGGAGACACTTTTGAAAGGAGACACTTTTAATTAGAAGGAGACACTTTTATCAAAAGGAGACAGTGTTAAAAGGAGACACTTTCATAAAAGGAGACACTTTTATGAAAGGAGACACTTTTAATTGGAAGGAGACACTTTTAATGAAGTTAAATAAAAGGAGACTTTTTTAAATCAAATAAAGGGAGACTTTAAATTAAATGAGATAAAAGGAGACACTTTTACTTAAATCAAATAAAAGGAGACACTTTTATTAAACCAAATAAAAGGAGACACTTTTACTTAAATCAAATAAAAGGAGACACTTTTATTAAACCAAATAAAAGGAGACACTTTTATTAAAATCAAATAAAAGGAGACACTTTTATTAAAATCAAATAAAAGGAGACACTTCAAATGGAAGCAAAAAAGGGAGAGACAAAAGGAGATAATTTTTAAATTGAAAGGAGACAGCTTTCAAGTTGAAAGGAGACACTTCTTAAGTTGAAAGGAGACAATTTGGAGACAATTTGGAGACAATTTGGAGACAAATTGGAGACAATTTGGAGAGAATTTGGAAACAAAAAGGAGACAGTTTTGGGACAAAAAGGAGACAAAAAGGAGACAAAAAGGAGACAAAAAGGAGACAAAAAGGAGACAAAAAGGAGACAAAAAGAAAAGATTTTGGGGACAAAAGAGAGACAAAAAGGGGGCAATTTTGGGGACAATTTGGAGACAAAAAGGAGACAAAAAGGAGACAAAAAAAGAGATAAAAAAGAGACACAAACCAACGGCTAGCCACAGCTAGCTACAGCTAGCCACAGCTAGCTACAGCTAGCCGCAGCTAGCTACAGCTAGCCACGGATAGCCACAGCTAGCTACAGCTAGCTACAGCTAGCTGTAGCTACCCACTGCTAGCCACAGCTAGCTACAGCTAGCCACGGCTAGCCACAGCTAGTTGCAGCTAGCCACGGCTAGCCACAGCTAGCTACAGCTAGCCACGGCTAGCCACAGCTAGCTACAGCTAGCTGCAGCTAGCCACAGCTAGCCACAGCTAGCTACAGCTAGCTACAGCCAGCTACAGCTAGCCACAGTTGTCTCCTTTTGACATTTTGGATGGTTGCACTGTTGGAAATCTGTCTCCTTTTTAAAGTGCGCATTTGGAGACAATTTGATGGAAGCTGCCTTCTGCAGTGCTGCTGCTGCTGCTGCTGCTGCTGCTGCTGCTGCTGCTGCTGCTGCTGCTGCTGAGCGACGGGGTCACTTGGTGTGGTATTTTATCCTTCTTTTGCTGCATTTGTTTGCAAAAAAGAAAACAAAAAATGAAATAAAAAATAAAATAAAAAAGGAAATAAAAATAAATAAAATAAATAAAAGAATTAAATTCAAAAAGACACTTTTGCTCGTTTGCAGCCGCCGCTGCAGTTCAGGTGTCTCGGCAGCTGCAGCAAAGCAGCAGCTGCAGCAGCAAAAACAAACAACGGAAGTTTAAATAAATGAAATAAAATAAAAGAATTAAATTAATTAAATTAATTAAAATAATTAAATTAATTAAATTGATTAAATTAATTCAAATGTTGAAACAAATCCAAAAGAAATAAGCGGAGTCCGTTGCTGCCAGGTGTACGTACACCTCAGATGAAGCTGACCAGCCACTTCCGCCGTTTGGCGGAATTTGGAGAAAATTGAAAAAATTAAAAAGCAATTTAGCAATTAAATGAAAAATAAATAAAATAAATTAAATTAATTAATTAAATTCTCCAAAATAATCATTTATAAAACATATTTGAGCGAGCTGTGCATGCAGCAGCCAGTGGTGAGACACCGGAGCGACCGGACGCCTGCTGCTGCTGCTGCTGCTGCTGCTGCTGCTGCTGCTGCTGCTGCTGCTGCTGCTGCTGCTGCACAGCAGCAGCAGCAACAAGGAAAAATGGTCAAAGTAGGAAGTTAAGAAAGACAGAAAGGAGACAGTTAGAGAGACACGCACAGTCGAGACAGTGGCAGCAGCAGCAGCAGCAACTGCAGCAAGAGCAGCAGCAGCAGCAGCAGCAGCAGCAGCAGCAGCAGCAAACTGAAATCGTAAGGGACAAAAAAAGAAAAAAAGAGACAGAGACACAGAGACACAGAGACAAAATAAAAAGCAAAGAAATAAAAAGAGACAAAAGGAGACAAAAGGAGACAAAAGGAGACAAGGAATTAAAAGGAGACAAAAATAAAAAGAAACAAAAAAAGAAAATAAAAGAAAAGAAATAATAAAATTAAAGAGACAAAGAGACAAAAAGATATAAAAGAATAAAAAGAATTTTAAAATATTAAAAAGAAAATTTAAAATAAAAGGAGACAGGCAGAAGGAGACAGAGACAGAAGGAGACAAAAGAGAAGAGAGACAAAAGAAGAACATTCAGCAGCAGCAGCAGCAGCAGCAGCAGCAGCAGCAGCAGCAACAGCAGCAGCAGCAGCAGCAGCAACAGCAGCAGCAGCAGCAGCAGAGGAGACAAATCAAAGGAGAGAAACAGACCAAAGGAGACACAAAAGGACTTTCTGTTTTGTCTCCTTTTTCTTTTTTAATTGAATAAAAAGGAGACAATTAAAAAAAGAAAAAGAGACAAAAGAGAAGCAGCAGCAAAACAAACAGAAGTCCTCTCCACTAGAGTGATTGAGAGCAGCAGCAGCAGCAGCAGCAGCAGCAGCAGCAGTAATAGAGTCAACAGCAGCAGCAACGGGAGCAGCAGCAGCAAGAGCAGCAGCAGCAGCGAAAGGCGCTGTAAAGAAGCAACGGAGACACAGCAAACAAAAACCTAGAAGAGACCAGCAGCAGCAGCAGCAGCAGCAGCAGCAGCAGCAAAAAGAAACAAGCAGCAGCAGCAAAAGAGACAAACAGCAGCAGCAAAAGGGGAGAAAAAACAACAGCAAAAAGGGAAAAACAGTAGCAGCAAAAGAGACAAACAGCAGCAGCAAAAGAGACAAACAGCAGCAGCAAAAGAGACACACAGCAGCAGCAAAAGAGACAAACAGCAGCAGCAAAAGAGACAAACAGCAGCAGCAAAAGAGACAAACAGCAGCAGCAGCAGCAGCAGCAGCAACAACAGCAGCAGCAAACTGCTGCAGCAAAAGGAGACAAGAAGGGGCCTCATGGCAGAAGAGACAAGCGGGGTGGGCCTAGCCCGCTTCTGGGCTTTTTGTCCTGCCCTTGACTTAATCAGTTTGCTGCAGCAGCAGCAGCAGCAGCAGCAGCAGCAAGAGCAGCAGCAAGAGCAACAGCAGAGCCTTGTTCAGCAGCAGCAGCAACAAGAGCAGCAGCAAGAGCAGCAGCAAGAGCAGCAGCAAGAGCAGCAGCAGGGCCTCGTTCAGCAGCAGCAGGAGGAACAGCGGCAAGAGCAGCAGCAGCAGCAGCAGCAGCAGCAGGAGCAGCAGCAGCAGCAGCTACAACCGGAGTCGGAGAGACTGCAGCAAGAGGATGGAGGCCAGGGGCAGGCTCAGCAGCAGCTGCAGCAGCAGCTGCAGCAGCAGCAGCAGCAGGATGGCGCAGCAGCAGCAAAAGCTTCCAAAGGTGAAGCAAAAGAGGGATTTATTTCTTACTAAACATTTATTTAAAAATAAAAAAGTTATTATTATTTCAAAGAGACACAAAAAGATATATTTGCTGCTGCAGGACCTTTGCTGCTGCGCTGCTTCTCGCTGCTTTCTCGCTGCTGCTGCTGCTGCTGCTGAGCCTTCTGCTGCTGCAGCTGCTGCCGTTACTGCCACTGGTGTTGCTGCAGCGGCTGCTGCTGTTACTGCTGCTGCTGCTCCCACTGCTGCTGCTGCTGTTACTGCTGCTGCTGCTGTTACTGCTGCTGCTGCGGCTGCTGCTGCTGCTGCTGCTTCTACTGCTGCTACTGCTGGCGCTCCTGCTGCTGCCGTTGCTGCCGCTGTTACTGCAGCTGCTGCTCCTGCTGCCGGTGCTGCTGCTGCTGCTGCTGCTGCTGCTGCTGCTGAGATTGTTTTCACAATTTGAACTATTTGTAATAATAATAATAATAATAATAATAATAATAATAATAATAATAATAATAATAATAATAATAATAATAATTATAATTGTACTTCTTATTTATAACTAATTATAATTTCCACAATAAAAGGATTATTTTCATGTCAGTGTTTTTATTTTTTTTTCATTTAAAATTGCAGCAGCATTAAGTCTTTGCCTTTTTGTCTTTTCATTTTTAAATGTTTTATTTTTAATTAATTTTAATTTAATTTTAATTTAATTTTAATTTTAATTTTATTTTAATTTTATTTTTAAATTAATTTATTTTCAGATTTGCTGACGGTGCTGCTGCTGGGCGTCTCCGATGTGCACCATATTTTGAAGACGGCGCAGCAAAGGGCAGCAGCAGCAGCAGCAGCAGCAGCAGCAGCAGGTGGCGCTGCTGCTGCTGCTGCAGCAGCAGCTAAAGGCGGGGTGCAGCAGCAGGCGAGAGAAGAGCCTAAAGTGAGAAAAAAAGACAAAAGGACACAAAAAAGAGACAGTTTAGCAGCAGCAGCAGCAGCAGCAGCAGCAGCAAGAGAGAAGCAGCAGCAGCAGCAAGAAAGAAGCAGCAGCAGCTGGAAGCAGCAAACACCGAAACAAAAGGAGACAGTCGAGCAGCAGCAGCAAAGTAAAGACAGCAGCAAAGAGACAAGTATCTCTCTTTTATTTTGTCTCCAATTTCTTTTTTGTTTTTATCTTTTTATTTTCTTTTTTATTTTCTTTTTTATTTTATTTTTTTATTTTTTTATTTTTAAATTTTCTTTTTTGCTTTTTCTTCAAACCCCACAGGTGCGGTTTGTGGTGTCTGAGGAGACACCTGAAGCAGCTGCTCGTTTGCTGCTGCTGCTGCACATTCTTACGGACGAAACATTGCCTCTTAGAGGTCAGCTGCTGCTGCTGCTGCTGCTGCTGCTGCTGCTGCTGGAGTTGTTGCTGCTGCTGTTGTTGCTGCTGCTGCGAGGTCGGCACTGCCACTTGCGGCTGCTGCTGCTTCCTAGGCACTGCTGCTTGCTGCTGCTGCTGCTGTTGCTGCTCCCTCTTAGGCATGCTGCTTGCTGCTGCTGCTGCTGCTGCTGATGCTGGAGTTGCCGCTGCTGCTGCTGTTGCTGCTGCTGCCTGGTCGGCACTGCCGCTTGCCGCTGCTGCTGCTTCCTAGGCACTGCTGCTTGCTGCTGCTGCTGCTGCTGCTGCTGCTGCTGCTGCTGCTCCCTCTTAGGCATGCTGCTTGCTGCTGCTGCTGCTGCTGCTGCTGGTGCTGCTGCAGAGCGTGCTGCGGTGTACATGGAGGTTTACGGCAACGCGTTTGTGCGGGAGCAAACTGCGGTGTACATACACCGCAGCTCGCGGCGGCTGGAAGAGTTCGTTTTTTGAATTTGAATTTAATTTTAAATTTAAATAAATTAAATTATTTATTTTCAAAGTTTGTTTTAAATTCGTGAATTGATTTAATGTGTTTATTTAAATAAATTCAATTAACTGCTTCTAAAGTTTGTAGCAGCAGCTGCTTCTCGGCAGCGGCTGCGTTGGGCCGAAATATCTTGGGTTTAGGGTTTAGGGTTTAGGGTTTAGGGTTTAGGGTCTAGGGTTTAGGGTTTAGCGTTGAGGGTTTGACATTTT